CCCGTGCTGGCTGGGCCTGATCCTCTGGAAGATCCAGCTACCCCAGTCCCACACAGCACTGAAAGCAAGTAGTGCAGGGAGAAAATGAACTAATGGGCTTAAATTAAGCTGAGCAATTCATCACCTGATAAGGAGCCAGGACGTAAGTGAAATGTAAGTCTCTGCAAGTATGCGGGTGCTTGCTATGATGAAGGCCAAAGATGGGCTGCTGCAGAGGCTCGTGCAATTGAATTAAGGCAGGTAAAACCTTTGCAGCTAATGTCAGCTCTGTCGCTGATAGGTCTGTGCAAAAGAACCTCCTGCTTGTGACACACAGTCAGATAGTTTCAGTGGCTGTTGAACAGGCAGGATCAAAGATGAACTGAGATGCACTGGTAATCTGAAATGCTCCATACTAGAGGCTGGCAGCTATGCCCAGGGACCTTCCTGTTCTTCCAGCAAAGCATCCCAGCTCTCATCACTGCAGCCCTTTGACCTGCAGGTAGCATCTGTGCTACTGCACCTCCTAACTCAACTTTTTCCTCATACACAGTATTAGGGGTGCCATACGACAGTACTAGACTACTTCCTGGTGGGCTGTTAAGACCAGGGTCTAAACACTAGTGCAGCGGCCTGCACCATTAGTTTTAAGGAGATTCCTCCTCAGTGAATGCAGACACGAGCTGGCTGCAGGACACGATGGCCATGGGCAGGCAGAGGAGGTGGTGAAAAACACGAAGCAGGAGAAGATATTACTGAAGTGACATGGATGCTGAGAGAGGGGCGTCTACTGAGACCAGATTTGCATGTGGAGGCTTGAGCTTTGCAGGGCAGTGTGCATTACCAGCTATGATCTTCACTGAGGTCTGCCGCCAAAAATGGCCCAGCTGGAGACAGGTGCAAGCCCTGGCCCTGACCCTGCAATGTGCCCTCATCTGCCCGCAAGCCAAAGGGCTCCTTCCTGACACCTCCTATCACTCCTGCAGCCCGTGTGACTTGTGTGGGCTCAGAGCTCATTTTCATGACAGAGCAGGGAGCAGCTGCAAACCTCCCTCAGCAGTAGAAGGAAGTCCTAGCACTGGCAAATTTAATTCAAATCTAAACCTCTAAATTTGGTTGCTTGCTATGGCAGGAACCTCCTGTTTGCACTACGCAAACTGGAAATAGCATGCCACCATCACCGGCCAGGGCAACAGGACAGTTGAGGTAAATGCAGCCATGGGCACTGTATTTCTGCTCTATGGGTTTGGAGACAGAACTCAATGAAACTCCATGTACAAGGTCTGCTCTAGAGGAGCACATGCCTTTACCACAGTCCTTTGTAAGGAATTAGCCACTGTGAGCACCAGGGTCACTCAGGGCTAGTTCTCCCTTACCTAGGGACCAACAGGAGATTATTATTATCAGTATTGCTGTAGCATCTAAATAGGAGCTAGAAACAACTGCCTGCTACACACAGCCTGCTTGTTCTGCTAGGAGGGGCCAGCTAAAGCAGCTCTGTGGCAGTAGATGCAGCACAGGGGAGCTGGGCTAGAACATGGGTAGTGCAGAATCAGCCAAGGACTTAGATACCAGCTTATTGAGACCTGTTTTGTGCCAACACCAAAATGGCTGCTCAGCATTATGCCTGCATTAAGGGACCCTGCAGTACATGAGAAAGAAGCCAGTTATCTTGATAGTTCTACTATTATCAGCACTACACAAGACCTTCAAAATCTCTTCTTAGCCTCAGAAGCCCCAGGCTTGAAATCTTGTAGTTAAGCTCTTCATACTCATAGCACCAAGGCTCAAATAGTGCACCTGAATTATGCCAACACCTTCCCAAACTACATGCTTAGAGAGCTGCCTTGCTTTGAAAAGACATTTTTTAACACACCTTTATCTTTTGCAGGGCAGCACCAGCACACCGCAGTCACCGTTTGTCCAAATGCCAGGTGAGGTTTTCCTCCACCAATAAATACCTTCAATGCAGGTTGGACAGTTGACACTGCTCCTGTCTCTTCTCCTCCAAAGGACATGAAGTGAGCAAAGGAGCTCTCTCTCAGAGAGAGCCCAGGAGGAAAGTAATTGAAAGGGTCAAAACAGGAACAGCAATAATAAAAGAAAGGCCCCTGTAGTCTTGTATGAAATTCCCAAAGAGGGGAAAGAGAGGTAATTAAAGCAGTTCCCACCTCTTTTGATAGAGGTGCCATGCAGAACCCCTTCTTTTTGCTCTGCATCTTCCAGTTTTCCCTGGAGCTGAAGAGAGAAAGTACAAAACCAGGAACTGACCTGTTTTGCCCCTTGAGCAGGGAAAGGGGAGTGAGGCTGGAACAGAAGCAGGTGGTTTTGCAGATGTAACCCCATTTTCCTTCTCAGGAGCTGTAGCAGAGCAAGGAGGAAGCAAAGGCTGGCAAAGCTAACTTCCATCCCCCTGGCCTCATACTTGAAGCTTCCCAAAACACATTTTGTTTGCTGCAGATGGATGTCATCAGCTGGATCAGGGCAGTCGGAGGTGCTAAAAGCACTTGGGCTGACACACCTGTTTGAAGACAGGATTGACTCCTGCCTTGCATGATGCTAGAGAGAAAAGGGCTCTACTTTGCATCTGCAGAGGTGCCCATACCTCTACGGCTCCCCAGGTGCTGCTGTAATGGTTTCCCTTTAGCCAACCCTTTTTTCTGACCACCACAGGCTCACCTACCACGGCTGGTTACTACGGCATCAGGAGATCCTTTACAACTGAGTTGGATTTCCACAACACAAAGCAATTTGTCAGTGATGTCTACTCATCCCCTCTAGGGTCCAAGCCCTTCTCGTGTGATTCCTCTGCCACTCGGGGCTACCCGGCACTTCTGGACCCATATCTCACCGACCAATATGGGGATTACCATGCTACTCCCCTCACAGCGGGTACCAGCTCCTTCTTCAGTCCTTCTTCTGTGCCCCCACTCCTGCCATCCTTCCCTAATGAGACAGCGCACTTCCTACTAGTGAGTGAGTCTATGGTTCTCAGTCACCCAATGAAAGATTACCCAATTTAAAGCTGGTGTTAAGTCAGGGGGACTCATGCGGGAAGTATGTGGCGGTCACAGGAGCAGCCACAGCAGAGCACACAGCAGATGGGGCAGGGCTGAGGGGGAACTGTTTTTCTCTTTGTTCCTGTCCTCCATCTAATTGTCCCCTCTTCCTGTTGGAGACCAGCTCCTAAATTAACAATCTTCCCCGTTCCCCAAAACAACTACTCCATTAAGCTCCTTAAGTTTCTAGAAACATCCTTTGTCGGCTCCAGGCAGTTGCCTATCCCTATCCCTGCAGCTTCCCAGGAGCCAGCTCCATTCACACCCCCAGGGCAGAGCTCCTGGACCCTGCAGGATCGGGGCTGGTCAGTCTCACCGGGAGCCTATTCTAGGCCTTGCCCACTATTGACATCATGGATGCTTCCTTTCAACAGTTTTAACACCAAATACTGCTCCAGAGCAACAGAAACCATTGTAAGTGCTCCCAGCTAGGCTCTTAGGATAGCTTGGCTTAGTGAAGGCAAGCTAGCTATGGCATTGCCTCCAGGACAAGCTTTTATTCTTAAGGGTGTTTCTTGCCTTCTCTCCCCACTTCCATGCAGAGAGAGCCCTGGGAGCAGACCTCACCCGACAGTCTCAGCCAGTCGGACGGTGCGTGCTCAGACCCTCTGCAAGCACTGCCTGCCAGTGCCAGCTGCCTCTCCTCACACGAGTCTGGAGGCGTTTCCCCATACCGAAGCTCAGGTTGGACCCCAGCCATCCCCGGAGCCCAGCCTCTGCATCCTGTTGAAGATGTCCGCTACTCCCCCAGCTTTGCTGCCACCTCACCCTACTCCTTCTCACCATTCATGACAAATGAGCTTACCTCCAGGGTGAGCCACCTCTCACCAGAGCAGTCCTTGGAGATGCCACCCCTTCACGATAACTCTGCCTGGGCAAAAGAGGATGGAAGTCCCATCTGGGGGACTTATGAAGGCCGGAGAACTTATTGATGAGAGATAAGAGCTGGAGGAAAAGAAGAATCAACCATTATTGAAGCAAATTTTTCTAAAGCTGGTCCTTCAGAGGATGCTAAAAACATGCAATGCTTTATGTTCTGTTTAGAAATACAATCACTTGGATATACCACATTTAGCTTATAGTGGTGCCTTCTAGCGCCTTATGAGAGTCATTGCTCACAGCACCGCTGTGCTACAGGTAAAATACACACTCTGAAAAATATCTGCACTTATGGGCCTTTCCTACAAACAAGGATCTCAGGTACTTCTTTTCAGACGCTGAGGAAACAGGTTGCTCTGAACCTTAAACTACATCTACAGAGCAACATTACCAGAAGAGATTTGGGAAGGCTGCGGAGCAAGGCAGCGGCTGGGGGAAGCCCCCCTTAATAGCACAGAGTCTGTATAATGGTAACCGATTACCTAGCAGCATAAATGTACGTCCCTAATGCTAGCATGCTGTGAACATGGCATTGTCTTGGGCAACAGTTATTGCCAGAGTAGCAAAGGCATGGCATGTTTGAGCCTACAACACAGGCGGCCACAATCCAATAAAGCTCACCATACTACACCAGGGCCTGGCAGACAGCTTAGGGTGTTGGCAGGGTCTGTCGGGGCACCATCCTGCCTGCTGATCTGCTCACAAGGAAGCCTCACCATCCCTCCCACATGCAATGCACAAAACACTCCTCCCCAATTTCCCTCTTGCCCTGAAGAAAACATAGAGCTGTTCCCCCTCTTGCGTAAACCAGATCAATACAAGTGACGTGACTCGAAGCCTTGTGTCAGTGGGCATAAGGCAGACTGCTCCCAGCCCCTTGCCAGGAGGCACCCACCTGGGGCTGCAATTGGGAACAAGGCTGATTTGAAGTCGCAGTGCCAGGCCGGGCCCCATGGCCACTAGAGGTAGCTCTGCACACACAGACACACACAAACAGAGGAGTCCTGTGCAACCCTTACAGATGCAGCCAGTCCCCACTGCTGCGTCCATTGCCGGCAGAGGCTACCCTCTTTGCCCCGTCTCATCCCCCAGCTTGGCACCCACAGAAGCAGCAACAAAAGCCTCGCTGAGGAAGAACAGAAGCTTTCTAGGCCTGAAAATGTGTAGTGATTAGATGCTTTAAGGCCCTCTTTGCCTTCCTCAAATCCTGGGGCTGATGGGGCATTTGAAGCCTTCTCAGCACCCTCCAGGGATCATAAATGGCACTGGGGTCACAGGATCGGGCCCAGGGCATTGCTTCATGCCATGCTGCTTGCAGGCAGGCACCTCTCTGCGTGGGAACGTGGACTGCGGACCCAGCACTGCACCTAGAAACAGGCAGCAATATCCGGCCCCTGTAAGCAACACTGCAGAGAGCTGCCAAGCGGGCCAGGCCAGTCCTCTGCACAAAACCCTTTCTTTTACAGGCATACCACTTTGCACCATCCCTGGCACCCCTCATGCTGTAGCCCAGGAATGTCCCTGCACCTCGGTGCGCACGCAGCAACCATACAAGCCCCTTGCTCAGCCCACACCTGGCAGCCAACACCTCCTTGGCTGTTCAGGCACCCGCAAACTATCCAGGGTATGTTCTGGCATCAAAGGATGGAAGGAGTGCTCCCAGGGATCTCGGCAGCTGCCCCAAAAGGGAAGGCGCTGCACAGGCTGCCCCGGGACACACCTCTCCCCCGAC